ATGATCAGTGTCGCGGTGGTCTGAGCCACGCATGGCACGGGTGATGAGGACATCTCGGCGAAATCTTTCTCTGACAATGATGTAGTCAATGAGATGCCAGTGTTTGGATCGTGGGAGTTGCCACGATCACTTGAAATTGTCGGCCTGCCACAACAAGGTATTGGTGATAGTGAGGTTAGGAGCAGCACACTTGCTAAGAAGGAGTAGGCTGTTGGGATTACACTTGCCTAGTCCATTTCTCCCTATGGTTCCCTGCCAAATGTCAGCATCTCTGCCAACTCTTTCATTGAAGTCGCCAAGGAACACAACCTTGTCTTCTCTGGGGGACAGAGGTTAGCACTCTGTCAAGGTCGGCGTAATAGGCCTCCTTGATGTCATCCTCTGCATCCAGTGTTGGGGGGTATGCACTGATGAAGAAGGCATGACGTGAGTGATTCAGTGGGACTCGGAGCATCATGAGGCACTCGCTGATCCCGAGATGCATTTCAGTTAGCCTGTGTAGGAGGCGTTGGCGGATGGCAAAGGCAACTCCATAAATGCAGTTTCTCTCCGCAGCAGGCTTACCCTTCCAGAAGAAGGTGTAGCCAGACCCCCATTCTGTGAGTCGACCCTCGACTGGGACCTGGGACTCACTGATGGCTGATATGTCGATGGTATACCTAGCGAGCTCTTTCTCCACAAGAGCAGTTCTTCTTTCAGGACGCTCATTTGTGCCAGTATCCAGAAGGGTCCTGACATTCCATGCAGCGACCATAAGAGGTTGTATAGTTTGTTTTTGTTTGGATCTGTGATTATGGTTGTGTTTTCGACTTCATAAGGATGACCTTACTGTGTGTGGTTGCCCAGTCAGGTTGTTTTTTTAGGCAGGCTATGTTTAGGGGACCTTTTCTAGCCCCCTCCCCATGTGGGGTGAGCAGAGTGGCTCCTCGTAAGGGCTGCTCAGTCACACAGACAGGACCGGATTGCACTGCTGCCTAGATCCCAGTGCATAAACGACCATCTTCTCTGTGCCACCCATGTGCAGAGTTGTAACTAGAGACTCCCGGCAGCCATCTCTGCCTGTCCCCGTCGCCACTCGTCCATCGCCATAGGACTTTTGGGGGTATACAGTAGGTGTTTTGATGATGATGGGAGGAATGGTGAGCTGGATGATGGCTGTGTGTGAGTTGATTTATGTGGTGAGGCAGGAGCGCAGGCTGCAACCACACATCATGGCTCTCCCTTTGCCTGATCCAGTGGTGCAAGTGTTGCAACGACTGGGGAGAGGTAGAGTTGCAATGGGCTGCCGATAGCCCAGTTTGTTGGGTTTCGCCTTGGTAGCCTGTCCATCATACATTGCCTTCGTCCGCCGGTGTAGTCGTTGGGTTCCCACGGTGGTCACCTCTTCCGCCTACACCGTCGTTGGGGTCTTGTTGGAGCTCTGTAAGCATGTCTGCCTGATGCGGGGCTCCATCACAGATTTATCGTTTGGGGTTTACTCCCGTAGCCTTATACCTGCCAAGGTTAATCCACAAGGCAGCGGGGCAGTGGTTGGTAGGCACCAAGACGTGTCCACATGCCAGTGGGCCTATGCACCGCCCTCTGGGGCCCACTGCTACTCCGAGATCCCCTACTGGTCTAGCCTGGGCCCACGAGGCACCAAGCTATCGTGTGTTGCCACAAGGAGGCACAGCAGGAGTCTTGATGGTGAGGAGGCTATGTACTGGCATGGGAAGACTTATGAGAGTTGCTTCCCTGTTCACCACGAGGGATAGCCAGCGGCGGCAGCTGGAAGCGAGAGGGAGCAAGCAGTGCCTGCACCACACACACAAACACACACACACAGATACACACACACACACACACACACACACACACACACACACACACACACACACACACACACACTGAAACACACACTCCTACACTAAAACACACACACACACACACACACACTGAAACACACACACACACACACACTGAAACACACACACACACACACACTGAAACACACACTCACACACACACACCACACTCCACACACACACACACACACACACTGAAACACACACACACTGGAACACACACACACACACACACACACACACACATACCACGCACACACATATACACACCTCACACACACACACAGAAACACTCAAACACACACACACACTCACACACACACAGACACAATAATGGTTGCCCCTAGTGGACGGAGGATAGCCGGCCCAAGGGCCACCTAGGAGCGAATATTGTTTAAGTTGTAGAAGCTGTCGCCAACACAACAACCACACCCTGAGTTAACGAGCTGCATGACCCAGTGTTGAAGGTGTAGAAGCTGTCGCCAACACAACAACCACACCCTGAGTTAACGAGCTGCATGACCCAGTAAGTGTTTAAGGTGTAGCTGTCACTACCAACCACACCCTGAGTTAACGAGCTGTGCATGACCCAGTGTTTGCTTGTAGAAGCTGTCGCCAACACAACAACCACACCCTGGAGTTAACGAGCTGCATGACCCAGTGTTCAAGGTGTAGAAGCTGTCGCCAACACAACAACCACACCCCTGAGTTAACGAGTTGCATGACCCGGTGCAGAAGCTGTCACCATCACAACAACTACACCCTGAGTTAACGAGCTGCATGACCCAGTGTTTAAAGTGTAGAAGCTGTCGCCAACACAACAACTACACCCTGAGTTAACGAGCTGCATGACCCGGTGTTTAAGGTGTAGAAGCTGTCGCCAACACAACAACCACACCCTGAGTTAACGAGCTGCATGACCCAGTGTTTAAAGTGTAGAAGCTGTCGCCAACACAACAACTACACCCTGAGTTAACGAGCTGCATGACCCAGTGTTTAAGGTGTAGAAGCTGTCGCCAACACAACAACCACACCCTGAGTTAACAAGCTGCATGACCCAGTGTTTAAAGTGTAGAAGCTGTCGCCAACACAACAACTACACCCTGAGTTAACGAGCTGCATGACCCGGTGTTTAAGGAGTAGCAGCTGTCACCAACACAACAACCACACCCCGAGTTAACGAGCTGCATGACCCAGGTTTACAAGTCTAGAAGCTGTCGCCAACACAACAACTACACCCCTGAGTTAATAAGTTGCATGACCCGGTGTTTAAGCAGAAGCCGTCGCCAACACAACAACCACACCCTGAGTTAACGAGCTGCATGACTCCAGTGTTCAAGGTGTAGAAGCTGTCACCAACACAACAACCACACCCCTGAGTTAACGAGGAGCTAGTATGGACTCCAGTGCTTTCTTAAGGTAGAAGCTGTTCGCCAACATAACAACCACACCCTGAGTTAACGAGCGTATGACCCAGTGTTTAAACTGTCAACACAACAACTACAACCCTGAGTTAACGAGCTGCATGACCCAGTGTTTAAGGTAGAAGCCGTCTCCAACACAACAACCAATTCTGAGTTAACGAGCTGCATGATTCCAGTGTTTAAGGTGCTGGTTGTCGCCAACACAACAACCACATCCTGAGTTAACGAGCTGTATGTGACCCAGTGTTTTATAGTAGAAGTTGTCGCCAACATAACAACCACATCCTGGAGCAGCTGGAAGGACCCAGTGTTTATAGGTGAAGCTGTCGCCAACACAAAACCATTACCCTGAGTTAACGAGCTGCATGACCAGGTTAAGATGTAGAAGCTGTCACCAACACAACAACCAATTTCGAGTTAATGAGCTGCATGACCCAGTGTTTATGTGCAGAAGCTGTTACCAACACAACAACCACTCCTGAGTTAACGAGCTGCATGACCCAGTGTTTAAGGTGCAGAAGCTGTCACCAACACAAATCTGCTACCACTCCCTGAGTTAACGAGCTGCATGACCAGTGTTTAAGGTGTAGAAGCTGTCGCTAACACAACAACCACATCCTGAGTTAACGAGCTGCATGACCAGTGTTTATAGTGTAGAAGCTGCCTGCCAACACAACAACCACACCCTTGGAGTTAACGAGCTGCATGACCCAGTGTTTAGATGGTGAAGCTTGTCACCAACACAAATAAACTAATTCTTCGAGTTAACGAGCTGCATGACCCAGTGTTTAAGGTGTAGCAGCCGTCACCAACCCAACAACCACACCCTGGAGTTAACGAGCTGCATGACCAGTGTTTAGGGTGCAGAAGCTTTCGTCGCCAACACAACAACCACACCCCTGAGCTAACGAGTTGCATGACCCAGCGTTTAAGGTGCAGAAGCTGTCACCAACACAACCAACAACCACACCCTGAGCTAACGAGCTGCATGACCCGGTGTTTAGGGAGTAGCAGCTGTCACCAACACAACAACTACACCCTGAGTTAACGAGCTGCATGACCCAGTGTTTAAGGTGTAGAAGCTGTCACCAACACAACAACCACACCCTGAGTTAACGAGCTGCATGACCCAGTGTTTAAGGTGTAGTAGCTGGGTAGACGGAGGCAAATGGCGTAAAGAAACTTGGCCATAGTTTCACCCTGCGGGGATCGAACCCGGGTCCGCTCGCTTGCGAGGCGAGCATGCTGACCATTACACCACACACACACACACAGATACACGCATACATACACACACACACTGAACCACACACACACACACATGAACTCAACACACACACACTGAACCCGACACACACACACACACACACTAAACCCGTCACACACACACACACACACACACACACACACACACACACTGAACCCAACACACACACAAACAAACACACACACACACACACACACACACACACACACTGAACCACACACACACACTGAACCCGATACACACACACACACACACACACTGAACCGACACACACACACACACACACTGAACCCGACACACACACACACACATGAACCGACACACACACACACACACACACATGAACCCGACACACACACACTGAACTCAACACACACACACACACACACACACACACACACACACACCATTCTCTATACAAAAAACTGGTTGCCGTCATCCCACGGTATATATATACGGGGTCTGGGTCCCCCACCACAGTCACCTGCTGGACGCCGTGCTGACAACATATGAAGGTAAGTCTAGTGTTGCTCTTGAACTGTTTTTTATTTTCTCTGATCTCTCTCTTTTTTTTTTTTTTTTTTTTTTTTTTTTCTTTCTTTCCTTCTTTCTTTCTTTCTCTCTCACTCTCTCTTCATTATTTATAAGAATATTAAAACAAACAATAATTACATGAATAACTTTAATAACAAAGAAATTGGCGGGAAAATTTAAATGGCAAAACGTAAACATTTCCATCAAGTCAGCTGATCTGTTTGTAATATGTTAGGTTGGGTCAGACTGTATCTAACTGACTCACTTAAACTACCACACAAAGATGGATTCTTAAAGGTTCCTACGTTAAGTTTTCCTCCTAACTGGTGATAAGAGAACGTATCTAACTGACTCACTTAAGCTACCACACAAAGATGGATTCTCAGTTGCTCCATTGCTAAAGTTTTCTTAACTGGTGATGTGAGAACGTGCATCTAACTGACTCACTTAGCTCACACAAAGATGGATTCTCGTAAGGTTCCCTATTGCTAAGTTTTCTCCTAACTGGTGATGAGAACGTATCTAACTGACTCACTTAAGCCATATCAAGCACAAAGATGGATTCTCAAAGGTTCCATGTTAAGTTTTCTCCTTAACTGATGTGAGAACGTATCTAACTGACTCAATTTAAGCTACTACACAAAGAAGGATTCTCAAAAGGTCTTTACGTTAAGTTTTCTCCTAACTGGTGATGTGAGAACGTATCTAACTGACTCACTTAAGCTACCACACAAAGATGGATTCTCAAAGGTTCCTACGTTAAGTTTTACTCCTAACTGGTGATGTGAGAACGTATCTAACTGACTCACTTAAGCTACCACACAAAGATGGATTCTCAAAGGTTCCTACGTTAAGTTTTCCTCCTAACTGGTGATGTGAGAACGTATCTAACTGACTCACTTAAGCTACCACACAAAGATGGATTCTCAAAGGTTCCTACGTTAAGTTTTCCTCCTAACTGGTGATGTGAGAACGTATCTAACTGACTCACTTAAGCTACCACACAAAGATGGATTCTCAAAGGTTCCTACGTTAAGTTTTCCTCCTAACTGGTGATGTGAGAACGTATCTAACTGTCTCACTTAAGCTACCACACAAAGATGGATTCTCAAAGGTTCCTACGTTAAGTTTTCCTCCTAACTGGTGATGTGAGAACGTATCTAACTGACTCACTTAAGCTACCACACAAAGATGGATTCTCAAAGGTTCCTACGTTAAGTTTTCCTCCTAACTGGTGATGTGAGAACGTATCTAACTGACTCACTTAAGCTACCACACAAAGATGGATTCTCAAAGGTTCCTACGTTAAGTTTTCCTCTTAACTGGTGATGTGAGAACGTATCTAACTGTCTCACTTAAGCTACCACACAAAGATGGATTCTCAAAGGTTCCTACGTTAAGTTTTCCTCCTAACTGGTGATGTGAGAACGTATCTAACTGACTCACTTAAGCTACCACACAAAGATGGATTCTCAAAGGTTCCTATGTTAAGTTTTCCTCCTAACTGGTGATGTGAGAACGTATCTAACTAACTCACTTAAGCTACCACACAAAGATGGATTCTCAAAGGTTCCTACGTTAAGTTTTCCTCCTAACTGGTGATGTGAGAACGTATCTAACTGACTCACTTAAGCTACCACACAAAGATGGATTCTCAAAGGTTCCTACGTTAAGTTTTCCTCCTAACTGGTGATGTGAGAACGTATCTAACTGACTCACTTAAGCTACCACACAAAGATGGATTCTCAAAGGTTCCTACGTTAAGTTTTACTCCTAACTGGTGATGTGAGAACGTATCTAACTGACTCACTTAAGCTACCACACAAAGATGGATTCTCAAAGGTTCCTACGTTAAGTTTTCCTCCTAACTGGTGATGTGAGAACGTATCTAACTGACTCACTTAAGCTACCACACAAAGATGGATTCTCAAAGGTTTCTACGTTAAGTTTTCCTCCTAACTGGTGATGTGAGAAACGTATCTAACCTTGACTCATAGCTACCACACAAAGATGGATTCTCACAGGTTCCTGCGTTAAGTTTTCCTCCTAACTGGTGATGTGAGAACGTATCTAACTGACTCACTTAAGCTACCACACAAAGATGGATTCTCAAAGGTTCCTACGTTAAGTTTTCCTCCTAACTGGTGATGTGAGAACGTATCTAACTGACTCACTTAAGCTACCACACAAAGATGGATTCTCAAAGGTTCCTACGTTAAGTTTTCCTCCTAACTTGATGTGAGAACATTATATATTTGATAATAATAATAACACCATTTAATTTCCTCATTTTATGTGAAGTAGAGATATTGTTACTGTTTTATTATTATTATCATTGTTATTATCATCATTATTATTATTATTAGTAGTAGTAGTAGTAGTAGTAGTAGTGGTAGTAGTAGTAGTAGTAGTAGTAGTAGTAGTAGTAGTAGTAGTAGTAGTAGTAGTAGTAGTAGTAGTAGTAGTAGTAGTAGTAGTAGTAGTAGTAGTAGGGATGGGACTAACTATTCCAGAGGAGATTGCTGACTCTGAACATCAAAATTCACTTAAGCTCACGGCAGCCCTCACTGACCACATAATAGCCCAGAATGCAACAGGGGAAGTGGACACCAGCGAAGTTAATAAGATCCGTAGATCCATTACAACAGATCGGCAGCACTGCCAAAATGACATGTTGCAGCAACTATTGCTGCAGGTTCCAGAAAATCTGACAAAAAAAGTAGCTATAGCGCAGGAGGTGGGCGCCTCGAACTGGTTAACTACGTTACCGATAAGGGCAAATGGTTTCAGCCTTAACAAACAAGAATTTACAGATGCCATTGCTCTAAGGTACGGTTGGCCAGTAGATGGTTTGCCCTCCCAATGCGTGTGTGGCTATTCCTATGATGGCGATCACGCCATGGTTTGCAAGAAGGGGGGCTTCATATGCATGAGGCATGACGAGGTAAGGGATCTCACAGCAAATATGTTGAAGGAAACCTGCCGGGACGTCATGGTAGAACCGACCCTCCTTCCACTGGATGGCGAGATCCTCCAACACAGGACTTCAAACACATCTAACGAAGCCCGTGTGGACGTCAGTGCTCGAGGATTCTGGACGCGGGGACAGCGAGCCTTCTTCGACATCAGGATTTTTGATCCCATGGCCGTTTGTCACCGTAACCTAGCTCTCGATGCTGCACATAGGAGGAACGAGAACGACAAGAGAAGGGCATATGGGGAGAGAATTCAAAATGTCGATCAAGGCAGCTTCACTCCGCTAGTGTTCACAACCTCTGGTGGGATGGGCCCAAGCGCAAGATGTTTCTACGCCAGACTCGCGGAGCTGATCTCCGAACAGAAGCAGCAGCCCAGAAGTTATGTCACAGCCTGGATGAGATGTCGACTGTCCTTCTCTCTCCTTCGGTCGGCTTTGCTCTGCCTCAGGGGAACGAGAGCTTCTGCCCCTACTCCGTCAACTGCTGCAGATATCGACTATGAGGCTACAGTCACCGAATGCCGCATCGATCTGCGGCTCAACTAATTTAACACAGATAGGATAGTTGCTTATGTATTAGGATATTTAATATTAAGGTAAATAAATGGTGGCGAAGGTGTGGCTATTGGGGGAGGCTGGAGGCCACGTTTAAAAAAAAAAAAGTAGTAGTAGTAGTAGTAGTAGTAGTAGTAGTAGTAGTAGTTGCAGCATTATTAGTAGTAGAGTTTTAATTACTGTTCAAATAAATTAGTGTCACCCATTACATTACAACTAGGGAACTTCTCCCCAAATCCACATAACCTAATATCCCCTATCGCCTACGCTACCCATAACTAACCTAACCCACCGCCGCCTAACCAAACCCCAATAACCTACGCTACTAAATGCTAACCTAAAATAACCCTAACCAAAACCTAACCTCACCTACCTAACCCCAACTACCATAACCTAAGCAAACCTACCATAACCTACGCTACTAAATACTAACCTAACCTAACATAACCTAACCTAACCTCACCTACCACACCATAACCTAACCTAACCTACCATAACCTAACCAAACCCACCATAACCTACGCTACTAAATGCTAACCTACCATAACCTACGCGACTAAATACTAACCTAACCTAACCTAACCTAACCTCACCTACCACACCATAACCACACCATAACCACACTCTCTCTCTACAGATGTGGTGTGTAGCGGCGTTGATGGTGACGTTGCTAGTGGGTGTGGCTAACAGTGACAGAAGTATAGGTCATCATGGTGGTTACGGTCACTACCCATCACCTTGTTATCCCAATGTTGTGGTGGTGACTAATTACGACCAGGTGGTGCAAGAGGTAAGATGTCTGTCTGTCTGTGTGTGTGTCTGTATGTCTGTCTGTGTGTCTGTGTGTCTGTCTGTGTGTGTGTGTCTGTGTGTGTGTCTGTATGTCTGTGTGTCTGTCTGTGTGTCTGTCTGTGTGTGTGTGTCTGTCTGTCTGTTTGTCTGTCTGTCTGTGTGTCTGTCTGTGTGTCTGTCCTGTCTCTGTGTGTCTGTCTCTTGTGTGTGTCTGTGTCTGTCTGTCTGTGTGTCTGTCTGTCTGTCTGTGTGTCTGTCTGTCTGTGTGTGTGTGTGTGTCTGTCTGTCTGTCTGTGTGTGTCTGTATGTCTGTGTGTCTGTGTGTGTGTGTCCTATCTAGCCTGTGTGTGTCTGTCTGTATGTCTGTATGTCTGTCTGTCTGTGTGTCTGTCTGTCTGTCTTCTTGTCTCCGTGTTATTCCATCTGTTTCTGCGTTGGTCTCTCTCTCTCTCTCTCTCTCTCTCTCTCTCTCTCTCTCTCTCTCTCTGTCTCTCTCTCTCTCTCTCACAGACGATAACACCAACTCCTTATGTTTCAGGTTCCGGTACGACACAAGATCTACAAAAAAGTAATTGCCAAGCAGCCACTTCACCTAACCCACGTTGAAAGAGTCGTCCAAGATGTACTGTCAACTAACTATTACCCTGAAATAGTTACTACAACCGTGGTCATTCCTCAAGTCAGAGTAGTTACGGATTATGAAGTAGAGAGAGTTACACTTTACAGGCCGGTAGTAGTGAAGGCTAAGAAGGTCATTCCGAAACCTGTAATTCGTCACGAGATTGAAGAAGTTGTAGAAAATGTTGTTATATACGATACTGTAACTTCTGCTGTTGTATTACCGAGTTATGAGACAGCAATCCAAGTTGTGTATTCTACTGTGGTTGTACCGAATTTGATACCCCATATTGAACATGTGGTCGAATATACAACGATTGTTAGTACCATATGCCCTGGTTATGGTCATTAAACACATACAAAACAGATGTTGGTTGTTAGTTTATAGGTCTATAACTTCTCCTCCCTTGTGGTGGTGAGTTGTAGGTGTTTGTGGATTAATAAAGTCACGAGATGTAACGACTCTCTCTCTCTCTCTCTCTCTCTCTCTCTCTCTCTCTCTCTCTCTACCACGATCGCTAGTACCATCATCACTTCTCTCTCCTCTCTCTCTCTCTCTCTCTCTCTCTCTCTCTCTCTCTCTCAGCTTCAGTTAAAACTCGTATTTCAGATAATTAGTGATATTATTTTTGTAATTCATTTTAATTAACTTGTTATAGATTATCTTTATAAAAGGTTAGAGATATTTAATAAAAAGAAGAGTTTTTATAATTTTCTTAATAACCTAACCTAAACCAAACCAAACCTAAACTAACTTAACATTAACCATACCGAACAAAAACCAAACCTAACCTAAACCAAACCTAACTTAAACCAAACCTAACCTAAACCAAACCTAACCCAAACCAACCTAACTTAAACCAAACCTAACCTAAACCAAACCTAACCCAAACCAACCTAACTTAAACCAAACCTAACCTAAACCAAACCTAACCTAAACCAAACCTAACCCAAACCAACCTAACTTAAACCAAACCTAACCTAAACCAAACCTAACCCAAACCAAAAATTAACCAAACCTAAAATACGAAAATATTATTGAAAAGGACACAAAAAAATTAGAAAAATATGAATACAAAATTATGAAAAAAAAAAAACTATTATCCCATAAATGGTAAATAAATGTTATAAAAATGTTAACAATGTATTTATCAGAAACATATTGTGTTAGATACCAACATCTTTAATAATATAACATTGTGGATTAAATTTAACAAGTGTAAAAAAAAAAATAAACCTTTTGCTTAATGTTTTGTGATGATTTAACCCCTTGAGTATGATGATTTAACCCTTTGAGTATGATGATTTAACCCTTTGAGTATGATGATTTAACCCCTTGAGTATGATGATTTCTTATGGGCATGATGGTTTGCTTAACTGAGGTATGATGGTTAACCGCTGAAACGATGATTTAACCCCTTGAGTATGATGATTTAACCCTTTGAGTATGATGATTTAACCCTTTGAGTATGATGATTTAACCCCTTGAGTATGATGATTTAACCCCTTGAGTATGATGATTTAACCCCTTGAGTATGATGATTTAACCCCTTGAGTATGATGATTTAACCCCTTGAGCACGATGACAACTCCTGAACATGCTCAACTGTATACCTGCATTGAGTATATACGATGGTTTAACCCTTCGATGACGATGGTTTAACCCTTTGATGACGATGGTTTAACCCTTTGATGACGATGGTTTAAACCTTTGATGACGATGGTTTAACCCTTTGATGACGATGGTTTAAACCTTTGATGACGATGGTTTAACCCTTTGAGAACGATGGTTTAACCTTTGAACGATGTTTAACCCTTTGATGACGATGGTTTAACCCTTTGAGAACGATGGTTTAACCCTTTGATGACGATGGTTTAACCCTTTGATGACGATGGTTTAACCCTTTGATGACGATGGTTTAACCCTGATGACGATGGTTTAACCCGATGACGATGGTTTAACCCTTGATGACGATGGTTTAACCCTTTGATGACGATGGTTTAAACCTTTGATGACGATGGTTTAACCCTTTGATGACGATGGTTTAACCCTTTGATGACGATGGTTTAAACCTTTGATGACGATGGTTTAACCTTTGAGAACGATGGTTTAATTTGAGAACGATGGTTTCACCCGATGACGATGGTTTAACCCTTTGATAACGATGGTTTAAACCTTTGATGACGATGGTTCCCTTTGATGACGATGGTTTAAACCTTTGATGACGATGGTTTAACCCTTTGAGAACGATGGTTTAACCTCTGATGACGATGGTTTAAACCTTGATGACGATGGTTTAACCTTTGAGAACGATGGTTTAACCCTTTGAGAACGATGGTTTAACCCTTCGATGACGATGGTTTAACCCTTTGATGACGATGGTTTAACCCTTTGATGACGATGGTTTAAACCTTTGATGACGATGGTTTAACCCTTTGATGACGATGGTTTAAACCTTTGATGACGATGGTTTAACCCTTTGAGAACGATGGTTTAAAACCTTGAGAACGATGGTTTAACCCTTTGAGAACGATGGTTTAACCCTTTGATGACGATGGTTTAAACTCTTGAGAACGATGGTTTAACCTTTACGACGATGGTTTAACCCTTGAGAACGATGGTTTAACCTTTTGATGACGATGGTTTAACCCTTTGAGAACGATGGTTTAACCCTTTGATGATTTACGGTTTAACCTTTGGAGAACGATGGTTTAACCTTTGATGACGACAGTTTAAACCTTTGATGACGATGGTTTAAACTTCTTTGATGACGATGTTTAACCTTTGAGAACGATGGTTTAACCCTTTGATGACGATGGTTTAAACTCTTGATGACGATGGTTTAACCTTTGATGACGATGGTTTAACCTTTTGATGACGATGGTTTAACCCTTTGATGACGATGGTTTAACCCTTTGATGACGATGGTTTAACCCTTTGATGACGATGGTTTAACCCTTTGATGACGATGGTTTAACCTTTTGATGACGATGGTTTAACCTTTTGATGACGATGGTTTAACCCTTTGATGACGATGGTTTAACCTTTTGATGACGATGGTTTAACCCTTTGATGACGATGGTTTAACCCTTTGATGACGATGGTTTAACCCTTTGATGACGATGGTTTAACCCTTTGATGACGATGGTTTAACCCTTTGATGACGATGGGTTAACCCTTTGATGACGATAATTTAACCCTTTGATGACAATGGTTTAACCCTTTGATGACAATGGTTTAACCCTTTGTTGACGATGGTTTAACCCTTTGATGACAATGGTTTAACCCTTTGACGACGATAGTTTAACCTTTTGACGACGATGGTTTAACCCTTTGATGACGATGGTTTAACCCTTTGATGACGATGGTTTAACCCTTTGATGACGATGGTTTAACCCTTTGATGACGATGGTTTAACCCTTTGATGACGATGGTTTAACCCTTTGATGACGATGGTTTAACCCTTTGATGACGATGGTTTAACCCTTTGATGACGATGGTTTAACCCTTTAAGGACTATAAAATGTTTATAAAAGAACCCTAGGTGAAGTGATTAACATCGATTTACTGACACACACACACACACACACACACACACACACACACACACACACACACACACACACACACACACACACACACACAACACACACACACACACACACACACACACACACACACACACACACACACACACACACACACACACACACACACACACACACACACACACACACACACACGGATATCAACATAATCCCGTCAAAAGTGACAATTTACTTTCGGAAAGGAGTGTGAACAGTGATGAACAGTGATGAACAGTGATGAACAGTGATGAACAGTGATTAACAGTACCAGCAAGAGCCGTGACCCACCAGTGAGGTCTTAACTTAACCTAACCTAACCATACCATCTTCTGACCAGTCGGTGTTAATCAGTCCACTCTGGGCACAACACCACCCCGTGTATCCATGACCAGGTGAGTTCCTTCATATCAACATCTAAGGACGAGTTACTGAACCACGTGTCCTATGTGACCTCACACAGTAGGGCGAGAGACCAGCCCGGGCCATCAACTGTAAACTATAATAATTTGTATGTTCAATTCATGTTCCTTCACCTTTTAGTAATGAAAGATTTTGTTAACATAAGAAAATAAGGAGTCTGCAATAGGCCGGTTGGTCTGTGCATGGCAGCTCCTGTCGAGAGTTACTACCACTCTCTATCATCCATGAATCTATCCAGCCTACTATTGAAACTTTCCAGAGTTCCAGGACTTACTACAAAGTTGCTAAGTTTGTTCCACTCGTCCACCACCCTATTTGTGAACCAGTTTCTTCCTATCTCCCTCCTAAACCTAAACTTATCCAACTTAAATCAGTTGCTCCGAGTCCTATCCTGCTCGAATATTATAAGAACTTTATCTATATCCCCTTTATTGATTCCTTTCACCCACTTAAATACTTCTATCATATCTCCCTGCACTCTTCGTCTTTCTAGGGAATGCAAGTTAAGTTTCTTTACCCTATCCTGATATGGAAGGTTTCTAAGTCCCGGAATCATTTTTGTCATTCTTCGCTGCACAGACTCTAGTGAATTGATATCCATTCTATAATAAGGGCACCAGAACTAACTAAACAGCATAATCGAGGTGCGGCCTAACTAGCGCAAGATATAGTTGCAATAAGACCTCTGCACTCTTATTACTTACACTTCTAGATATAAAACCCAATACTCTGTTTGCCTTATTTCGAACAGTAACCCCCCCCCATGTGTCTGTATGTAATAAGTCATTTTTGCTTGATGTAATTATTTTTAGTATTTTGGTTACTGAACTTTTTCAATAAACCGCTAATTATTATTATTAATATTTACACACAAACACTAACACACGTACTGTACATACCCACCCACCCACCCACCTACACACCCACCCACCTACCCACCCTAGTCGACAGTGGTCAACATGACTTAACATTTTATAACGAGGTAGACCAGTTCCTCCCTCACCACGCTGGGGCACTAAACCAGACAGACAGACGAACGCACGAACGCATTCAACCACCATTCACTTCCTTAAATCAACGAATTGGCAACTGCAGGCAACCTCAGCTGATGGACAACAACAAAGCGACATCTGGCAACTCAAGTGAATGTATATAAACTCCGTGCAACCCCGAAGAGCTCCAGTCTCTCGCTAGCCGTTACAGAGTCAACATCATTCAAGGTAATGTAATGTTACGTCTTTCATAAATATAGTTGCTAATGATAAATTTATTAACTTAAAAGACCGGTTTTGTTAAGTAGGTTAGGGTGAAAGTGCTTATGTAACTTATATAAACAGGAAAGTTGAGAAAAGGTTACATTTTTTTTCTTTTGGACCCAAACTGGATTTAGTGAAAAGTGAAAATTGCTCTAATTGTCTGTACATAAATACTTGTACATTATGCACATACATACATACTTACACCGTGACACACACACATGTATATATGCACATTATATACACGCACATACACAATATACATGTACTTACACACACATTCTTACACATTATACACATATATACACACATGCTTACATACATACATACACACACACACACACACACTGACACACATATACACATACATACATACATACATACATACACACACACATACACACACACACACACATGTATATCACTTATGCACTTAAGTGTATGTATGTATGTACTAGTTCTAATGGGTGCTAGTTCTAATGGGTGCTAGTTCTAATGGGTGCTAGTTCTAATGGGTGCTAGTTCTAATGGGTGCTAGTTCTAATGGATTCTAGTTCTAATGGGTGCTAGTTCTAATGGGCGCTAGTTCTAATGGGTGCTAGTTCTAATGGGTGCTAGTTCTAATGGGTGCTAGTTCTAATGGGTGCTAGTTCTAATGATACTAATGGGTGCTAGTTCTAATGGGTGCTAATGGGTGCTAGTTCTAATGGGTGCTAGTTCTAAAGTTCTAATGGGTGCTAGTTCTAATGGGTGCTAGTTCTAATGGGTGCTAGTTCTAATGGGTGCTAGTTCTAATGGGTGCTAGTTCTAATGGGTGCTAGTTCTAATGGGTGCTAGCTCTAATGGGTGCTAGTTCTAATGGGTGCTAGTTCTAATGGGTGCTAGTTCTAATGGATTCTAGTTCTAATGGGTGCTAGTTCTAATGGGCGCTAGTTCTAAATATTAATATCCATATACTGTACCACTCTCATGTACCTAACCTAACCTAACCTAACCTAAACTAAACTAAACCAAACCTAAACCAAACTAAACCAAACCTAACCTAACCTAAACCAATGAATACTCTTCCAGATGCTGTGGTTTGTGTTAATGACGCTGTTATCGGTCACGTTAGCCGACCCTAAAAGTTCACCTGATTATGGACCACCTCGTCCATGTTATCCCAGTACTGTATATGTAAATCAGATTGATACAGTGATCCAAGAGGTATGTGTTTAAGTTTAGTCTTTGATATTATTTATATAGATGAAAATATTGACTATGTAAACCATTTATATATATGTGGAAATCTCTTCTATGTGACCTATTTATATATATATGGAAATCTCTTCTATGTGACCCATTTATATACACGATAATTCCATCATGTTTTTATTCCTGAAAATCGCAATATTTTGTGTTGATTTAGTTCATAAGTTCAAATTTATTTTTATTTTTATTGAATATTTTCATTTTTGTTATTCTTTACAAATTTTAGATTTTGTGACTTTTTCTCATTCTTCATAAACCACTAGACACCATACTATCCAGTCATCCACCCACACCATCACTATAAACCACTAGACACCATACTATCCAGTCATCCACCCACACCATCACTATAAACCACTACACACCATACTATCCAGTCATCCACCCACACCATCACTATAAACCACTACACACCATACTATCCAGTCATCCACCCACACCATCACTATAAACCACTAGACACCATACTATCCAGTCATCCACCCACACCATCACTATAAACCACTACACACCATACTATCCAGTCATCCACCCACACCATCACTATAAACCACTAGACACCATACTATCCAGTCATCCACCCACACCATCACTATAAACCACTAGACACCATACTATCCAGTCATCCACCCACACCATCACTATAAACCACTACACACCATACTATCCAGTCATCCACCCACACCATCACTATAAACCACTAGACACCATACTATCCAGTCATCCACCCACACCTTCACTATAAACCACTACACACCATACTATCCAGTCATCCACCCACACCTTCACTATAAACCACTACACACCATACTATCCAGTCATCCACCCACACCTTCACTATAAACCACTACACACCATACTATCCAGTCATCCACCCACACCATCACTATAAACCACTAGACACCATACTATCCAGTCATCCACCCACACCTTCACTATAAACCACTACACACCATACTATCCAGTCATCCACCCACACCTTCACTATAAACCACTACACACCATACTATCCAGTCATCCACCCACACCATCACTATAAACCACTACACACCATACTATCCAGTCATCCACCCACACCATCACTATAAAAAACTAGACACCATACTATCCAGTCATCCACCCACAACATCACTATAAACCACTCAAATATTAACCTGGTTTATAAAATTTTCCAATAGGTTAAGTATGGTTAGGTTAGGTTAGGTATGGTTAAGTATGGTTAGGTTAGGTTAGGTATGGTTAGGTTAGGTTAGGTATGGTTAGGTTAGGTTAGGTATGGTTAGGTTAGGTTAGGTATGGTTAAGTATGGTTAGGTTAGGTTAGGTATGGTTAGGTTAGGTTAGGTATGGTTAGGTTAGGTTAGGTATGGTTAGGTTAGGTTAGGTATGGTTAGGTTAGGTTAGGTATGGTTAAGTATGGTCAGGTTAAGTTAGGTATGGTTAGGTTAGGTTAGGTATGGTTAGGTTAGGTATGGTTAAGTATGGTTAGGTTAGGTTACAGGGACCTAACACAATATACCATTATTCCAGGTGCCGGTATATGATGTGGCTTACGATACTGAGATAGTTCAGGAACCTAACGTGAACTATGTGGCGAACACCGTCTTCAGCAGCAGTACTACTGTTGTCCGAGTCCCTGAAGAAGTCACCACAACATATTTTCAGGAAATACTTGAATATGTCACCCAAACCCAGACATCAGTAGAAACAGTCTTCACTACAGAAGTCGTTGAGGAGACAGAGTACACGCCCATTTACTCAACAGTCACATCCATTCAGAACGTCATCAATACAGTTTATGACACGGTTGAAGTCGTCACCACCCAATATGACATACAGGTTATCCCTAGCATAGACGTGAGATACCAAACGATTTATTCAGATGCTTACGTACCTCAGATTGTGAAGGAGACCAAGACTGTCTATGACCAACACACTTATTGTCCAACCCGAGGCTATGGCAAGAGTTACTAAATCCACACACACATATTAAAGTAAAATCTCTAATGGACTATAGAGAGCAATGTCAGTTATAGAGAGGTGAAAGTCCGCTATATAGAGGTGAAAGTCTGCTATATAGAGGTGAAAGTCCGCTATATAGAGGTGAAAGTCCGTTGTATAGAGGTGAAAGTCCGCTATATAGAGGTGAAAGTCCGCTATATAGAGGTGAAAGTCCGCTATATAGAGGTGAAAGTGCTATAGGTGAAAGTCTGCTATATAGAGGTGAAAGTCCGCTATATAGAGGTGAAAGTCCGCTATATAATAGTGAAAGTCCGCTATATAGGGGTGAAAGTCCGTTGTATAGAGGTGAAAGTCCGTTATATGGAGGTTAAAGTTCGTTATATGGAAGTTTCACTATATATCATTGTAAAAATTTCACTTTAGCTACAATGATTTAAATACTATGATCATTGACCCTGTAACTAAACATTTCCTTTAGATCTATGAAAGAAACCGTAATCCCTCTCAATACCGGACTTCTCGATATTGTAATCCCTCTTAATACCGGATTTCTCGATGCTGTAATCCCTCTCAATACTGGACTTCTCGGTGCGATAATTCCTTTCAATACCGAACTTCTAGGTACGGTAATCCCTCTCAATACAGGACTTCTCGATACGGTAATCCCTCTCAATACCGGACTTCTCGATATACCAATCCATCTCGATAACGGCTTTATCAATACAGTAATTGATATAATAAACCATTTAAATACCGAACTTCTCAACACAGTAAACCTCTTAATAACGGACATCTCAATATAGTAATGGATACAGTAAACCCTCTCAATACCGGATTTTTCAATAGCGGATATTCTTAATAACGGAATTCTCTCAATAAGGGACAGGGCTTGTAGGAATCAATCCGGTATTAGGAGGGGTTATTGTGGAGTTTGTGATTGTCGAATCTTTTGACTGTATTCCTAATCTTTAATTCCCCTTATTTATTACGCTATTTTCCTTCCAATCTGACATTATGGTTAGTATGTTTAACCTCTGGCCAATAACAATCCCCCGTAGTAAATCAGTTTCCAATCATCATCTAATCTTTTAAGAATATTTGGTAACCATTAGGTAATCTCAACCAGTTATGTGTTCCTTTATTGTCATCCACGTGTATTTATTTTCACAATACACAATCCCCGAATCACCTAATCAGAAGGATGATTCACAATACACAATCCCCGAATCACCTAATCAGAAGGATGATTCACAATACACAATCCTTGAATTATCCAATCTCAAGAGTGATGCATAATTTCAATCACAGTTTCAATACAAGTTATAAGAACAAATGAGTTTATATAATATTCCTTATATTTTATATATTAATATAATTACATATATAGTTAATATGTAGCTCTGTATAAGGTTTGTAAAGGTTTATTTTATTAAAAGAAATATTCACTATACATATATGGTGTGTCTTTGAATTGACCTCTTAATGATAATAATAATAGAAATAATGATGATAATGATGAGAATAATGATGATAATGATGATAATAAAAACAACAAGAACAACAACAATAATAATAATAATAATAATAATAATAATAATAATGATAATAATGATGAGAATAATGATAATAATAATAGAAATAATGATGATAATAATAATGATGATAATGATAATAATAATAGAAATAATGATGATAATAATAATGATGATAATGATAATAATAAAAACAACAAGAACAACAACAATAATAATAATAATAATAATAATAATAATAATAATAAAAATAATAATAATGATAATAATGATGTGAATAATGATAATAATAATAGAAATAATGATGATAATAATGATAATAATGATAATAATAATTGAAATAATGATGATAATGATGATAATGATAATAATAAAAACAACAAGAACAACAATAATAATATTAATAATAATAATAATAATAATAATAAGAATAATAATAATAAGAATAATAATAATAATGATAATAATGATAATAATAAAAACAACAAGAACAACAACAATAATAATAATAATAATAATATTATTAATCATAATAATGATAATAATAATAGAAATAATGATGAGAATAATGATAATAATAATAGTAATAATGATGATAATAATGAAAATGATAATAATAATAATAATAATAATAATAATAATAATAATAATAATAATATTTATTTTTATTAATATTAATCTATCTACCTCTGTGTGTGTACATCTCTCTCTCTCTCTCTCTCTCTCTCTCTCTCTCTCTCTCTCTCTCATAACTCAGTCTTTACCACACCCACTCACCCTCACATCGACATCCCAAACCGTAATTAATTTCACTGAGGCGCTACACAACACGGAAACAGGGCCAACATATCACTTGTTCGCTTATTTCGGGGTGAAGGTGAGGCCACCCCTTGACCCCGGGGTTGAGATCGTGCTGTGGCCAGAGAGAGAGAGAATACATACATACATACATACATACATACATACATACATACATACATACATACATACATACATACATAAATACATACATACATACATACATACATTCATTTCAACAACTACACCAAACGAAGCTGCATTAGTGAACAGAATCTTTACAGCAAATGAACACAAAAGAACAGAACAGAATCTTTACAGCAAATGAACACAAAAGAACAGAATCTTTATAGAAAATGAACACAGAAGAACAGAACAGAATCTTTACAGCAAATGAACACAGAAGAACAGAACAGAACCTTTACAGCAAATGAACACAAAAGAACAGAACAGAATCTTTACAGCAAATGAACACAAAAGAACAGAACGGAATCTTTACAGCAAATGAACACAGAAGAACAGAACCTTTACAGCAAATGAACACAGAACAGAACAGAATATTTACAGCAAATGAACACAAAAGAACAGAACAGAATCTTTACAGCAAATGAACACAAAAGAAGACAGAACAGAAGATCACACAGCAAATGACACAAAAGAACAGAACCTTTGCAACTTGATGACACAAAAGAACTAAGAACCTTTACAGCAAATGAACACAGAACAGAACAGAATATTTGCAGCAAATATGACTACACCAGAAAAGAACAGAATCTTTACACCCCAGCAAATGAACACAGAACAGAACAGAATATTTACAGCAAATGAACACAAAAGGAACAGAACCTTTACTGAAATATAGACACAGAAGACAGAACAGAATCTTTTACAGCAAATGAACACAAAAGAACAGAATCTTTACAACCAAATGAACACAGAAGAACAAAGAACAGAATCTTTACGGCAAATGAACATAAAAAGAACAGAGACAGAATCACCAAATGAACACAAAAGAACAGAACCTTTGCAGCAAATGAACACAAGACAGGAGTTACAGAATATTTACAGCAAATGAACCTGCAGAAGAACTAAGAGACAGAATCTTGCCGCAGCAAATGAACACAAAGAACAGAATCTTTTACAGCAAATAGACACAGAAGAACCAGAACTAGAAGAATCTTTACAGCAAATGAACTTGAAACCAAGACAGAATCTTTTACACCAAATGAACACAAAAGAACAGAACCTTTTACAGCAAATGAACACAGAAGAACAGAATCTTTTACAGCAAATGAACACAGAACAGAACAGATTCTTTACAACAGAAAATGAACACAGAAGAACAAGATGCTACAGCAAAATGAACACAGAAAGAACAAATTTGGAGAATCTTTTACATCAAATGAACACAGAAGAACAGAATCTTAACAACAAATATGAACACAAAAAGAACAGAATCTTTACAGTAAATGAACACAGAGACAGAACAGACTAGCACACAGCAAATGAACACAGAAGAACAGAATCTTTACAGTAAATGAACACAGAACCGAACAGATTCTTTACATGGAAAGCTGAACACCGAAAAGACACAGAACCTTTTACAGCAAATGAACACAAAAGAACAGAATCTTAACGGCAAATGAACACAGAACAGAACAGATTCTTTACAGCAAATGAACACAGAAGAACAGAACAAGTCTTTACAGCAAATGAACACAAAAGAATGAAACCTTTACAGCAAATGAACACAGAACAGAATCTTTACAGCAAATGAACACAGAAAGAACAGAACAGAATCTTTACAGCAAATGAACACAGAAAGAACAGAACAGAATCTTTACATCAAATGAACACAAAAGAACAAGAACAGAATCTTTACAGCAAATGAACACAAAAGAACAGAACAGAATCTTTACAGCAAATGAACACAAAAGAACAGAATCTTTATAGAAAATGAACACAAAAGAACAGAACAGAATCTTTACAGCAAATGAACACAGAAGAACAGAACAGAATCTTTACAGCAAATGAACACAAAAAAACAGAACCTTTACAGCAAATGAACACAAAAGAACAGAACAGAATCTTTACAGCAAATGAACACAGAAGAACAGAACAGAATCATTACAGCAAATGAACACAAAAGAACAGAACCTTTACAGCAAATGAACACAAAAGAACAGAACAGAATCTTTACAGCAAATGAACACAAAAGAACAGAACCTTTACAGCAAATGAACACAAAAGAACAGAACAGAATCTTTACAGCTAATGAACACAAAAGAACAGAACAGAATCTTTACATCAAATGAACACAGAAAAGAACAGAATCTTAACAGCAAATGAACACAAAAGAACAGAACAGAATCTTTAAATCAAATGAACACAGAACAGAACAGAATCTTTACACCAAATGAACACAAAAGAACAGAACAGAATCTTTACAGCAAATGAACACAAAAGAACAGAACAGAATCTTAACAGCAAATGAACACAGAAGAACAGAATCTTTACAGCAAATGAACACAAAAGAACAGAACCTTTACAGCAAATGAACACAGAACAGAACAGAATATTTACAGCAAATGAACACAGAAGAACAGAATCTTTACAGCAAATGAACACAGAACAGAACAGAATATTTACAGCAAATGAACACAAAAGAACAGAACCTTTACACCAAATGAACACAGAAGAACAGAACAGAATCTTTACAGCAAATGAACACAAAAGAACAGAATCTTTACAGCAAATGAACACAAAAGAACAGAATCTTTACAGCAAATGAACACAGAAGAACAGAACAGAATCTTTACAGCAAATGAACATAAAAGAACAGAACAGAATCTTTACACCAAATGAACACAAAGAACAGAACAGTAATTTTACAGTAAAATGGTAAACACAGAACAGAAATGAGAATTTTACAGCAAATGAACAGAATGGTATGAGAATCTTAACAGCAATGAACACAAAAGAATAGAATAGAATTTTTATATAAATGAACATAAAAGAACAGAACAGAACCTTTACACCAAATGAACACAGAAGAACAGAATCTTTACATCAAATGAACACAAAAGAACAGAACCTTTACAGCAAATGAACACAGAACAGAATCTTTACACCAAATGAACACAGAAGAACAGAACAGAATCTTTGCAGCAAATAAACACAAACGAACAGAACCTTTACAGCAAATGAACACAAAAGAACAGAATCTTTACATCAAATGAACACAGAAGAACAGAATCTTTACATCAAATGAACACAGAAGAACAGAATCTTTACATCAAATGAACACAAAAGAACAGAACCTTTACAGCAAATGAACACAAAAGAACAGAATCTTTACATCAAATGAACACAGAAGAACAGAATCGTTACACCAAATGAACACAGAAGAACAGCAATACATATAAACAAATGATACTAAATGGAAAAATTAATTAATGTGTGTGTGTGTGTGTGTGTGTGTGTGTGTGTGTGTGTGTGTGTGTGTGTACCTCGCCTGTCTGACATTGTTTACATAAAGCATTGAGCGGAAACAGCTTAAAAAAACTAGCGCTTCATAAATCCCTCACAACACACCCACCCATAAGTAGGTAAGGTCAAGCCGCTACATTCAGCAACCACTATATATACCCAAACGCCAGAGGCATTTCACATCAGTCCTTCCCTGATCTCCGCTGAGTAAACATCTCCTCAGGTAAATATATTGGTTTGGGTTTTGTTTTCGTTATATATAAACTAATTGATTATTTAAAATATCTAAGATCTTGACAGTAAATTGCGAAGAGAATAAGTAGAAATATCCACACATACTTGTTCATATCCTCACACACACACACACACACACACACACACACACAATACCAGTAGAGTGCTAAGACAACAAGTAGAAATATCCACACATATAGTCCGGTAAATGGAGGGTTTACATCTTACGGGACTTGGTATATAGAGGGTTCGGTATATAGTGGTTCCGGTATAAAGAGGTTCCGGTATATAGAGGTTCCGGTATATAGAGGTTCCGGTATATAGAGGTTCCGGTATATAGAGGGTCCGGTATATAGAGGTTCCGGTACATATTCCGGTATATGGAGGGTTTACATCATCGAGGGGGAAAAATCGCAGTTATTCTTTTTTTTTCAGATAAGATGATGTTGTTGTTGGTAGTGGTGGTGGTGGGTGTGGGTGTGGGTGTGGGTGTGTGTGAGCCAGCCAAGTACAGTGAACCAAGATGTTACCCACACACACACTATGTTACCAGTCATCAAACACAGGTGAAACAGGTGAGTATAATTAGTTTTGTTGAAGGTTACCTGAGGATTAACCTAACCTAACCTAACCTAACCTGTCCTAACCTAACCTAACCAAGATGTTACCCACACACACACTATGTTACCAGTCATCAAACACAGGTGAAACAGGTGAGTATAATTAGTTTTATTGAAGGTTACCTGAGGATTAACCTCCAAACCCCACCTAACCTAACCTGTCCTAACTCTAACCTAACCAAGATGTTACCCACACACAATAATTATGTTACCAGTCATCAAACACAGGTGAAACAGGTGAGTATAATTAGCTAAGCGAAGGTTACCTTGGAGGATTAACCCAACCCCAACCTTAACCTAACCTGTCCTAACCCCAACCTAACCAAGATGTTACCCACAATAATACACTATGTTGCTCAGTCATCAAACACAGGTGAAACAGGTGAGTATAATTAGTTTTGCTGAAGGTCACCTGAGGATTAACTCTAACCTTAAATCCCAACCTAACCTGTCCTAACCTAACCTAAACCAAGATGTTACCCACACACTATGTTACCAGTCATCAAACACAGGTGAAACAGGTGAGTATAATTAGTTTTATTGAAGGTTACCTGAGGATTAACCTAACCTAACCTAACCTAACCTGTCCTAACCTAACCTAACCTAACCAAGATGTTACCCACACACACACTATGTTACCAGTCATCAAACACAGGTGAAACAGGTGAGTATAATTAGTTTTATTGAAGGTTACCTGAGGATTAACCTAACCTAACCTAACCTAACCTGTCCTAACCTAACCTAACCTAACCAAGATGTTACCCACACACACACTATGTTACCAGTCATCAAACACAGGTGAAACAGGTGAGTATAATTAGTTTTATTGAAGGTTACCTGAGGATTAACCTAACCTAACCTAACCTGTCCTAACCTAACCTAACCTAACCAAGATGTTACCCACACACACACTATGTTACCAGTCATCAAACACAGGTGAAACAGGTGAGTATAATTAGTTTTATTGAAGGTTACCTGAGGATTAACCTAACCTAACCTAACCTAACTCTTAACCACCTGACCTACTAAACCTCCCCTCCCTCACCTCACCTCCCCTCACCTCACCTCTCAACCTAACCTCCACACCTCCCCTCCCTCCCTCCCTCCTCCCTAACCTAACCTCCCTCACCCCTAACCCCTCACCTCACTCCCCTCCCTCCCCTCACCTCCCCTAACCTCCCTCCCTCCCCTCACCTCACCTCCTCCCACCTCACCTCACCTCCCTCCCTCACCTCACCTCCCTCACCTCCTCCTCCCCTCCCACTAACCTAAGATTGTAACATACAGGAAGACAAAATCAGACCCCAATCCACAAACCCTAATTCATTTTGTACACTTTCAGGTACCGGTCTACAGCACAGTGTACAAGAAGGAGTACGTACCCACCACGCTCTACAAGACTGTACAGAAGACCCTCTACAACACCATCTACAAGACTGAGTACATACCAAAGTATATCACTACCACCAACTACCAAACCCAAGTAAAGTACGCGACGGATTACCAAACACAATATAAAACCATCTACCATACGAACCACGTCACCAAGACCGCGTATGTGCCTAAGTACATCACAGAGACGGCTTATAACACCGTGTACAAGACAGATATACAGTACCAAACGGTGTACAAAACAGAATACGTCCCGAAGTACATTACCAAAACACAACTGCAGTACCAAACTAACTACAAAACGCAAATAGTACCGCAGTACCGTACAGTAGTTAATACCGTACACAGCTACAAGACACTATGCCCAAAACCGTCCTATCGTGGGTACTAAGTCACTGATTGGTTGATAATTACTCGTCTCTTGGTGGTGATTGGTTGATTCCACTTGATGACACTTGTATTTTGATGCTCACTGGATGGCAACACCAGTATCTCAAAGCTGATTGGATGATGGGACTACTTAACTTGATGGTGATTGGTTGTTGATGCTTGTATTTTGATGCTCACTGGATGGCAACACCAGTTTGATTTAACCCCAAGAGTATGATGATTTAACCCCTTGAGTATGATGACTTAACCCCTTGAGTATGATGATTTAACCCCTTGAGTATGATGACTTAACCCCTTGAGTATGATGATTTAACCCCTTGAGTATGATGATTTAACCCCTTGAATATGATGATTTAACTCCTTGAGTATGATGACAACCCCTTGAGTGTGATGACTTAACCCCTTGAGTATGATGATTTAACCCCTTGAGTATGATGATTTAACCCCTTGAGTATGATGATTTAACTCCTTGAGTATGATGACAACCCCTTGAGTGTGATGACTTTACCCCTTGAGTACTACTTAACCCCTTGAATACGATGAGACTGTACTCAAGGGGTTAAGTCATCATACTCAAGGGGTTAAATCATACTCAGGGGTTAAGTCATCATACTCAAGGGGTTAAGTCATCATACTCAAGGGGTTAAGTCATCATACTCAAGGGGTTAAGTCATCACACTCAAGGGGTTAAGTCATCATACTCAAGGGGTTAAGTCATCATACAAAGTAAACTTATACATTTTAAAAGGTTAATTTCTTCAGTTATTCATAATAAAACTTAATTTACTTTGCAATACAAAATGCAAAGTATTTATACACTAAAATAAATATACATAATTAACTAAATATTAAAAGTATCTAAAAAAATATTAAAACTTTTTTCACTAACTAAAAAAAATATTAAAAATTAATTAAAAATATTATTGAAATTTTATTACATCTCAGAATATATAAGTTAGGCATTTGTATTAAGTTCTTATTCTGATTAATTAAAAATGTAATGAATTGCATTTATTCCTATATTAAAATCTTGTAAACTTAGGTAAGGAAATAATTTAGGCTGTAATTCCATTTTCGTTTGATTTTTATTATAACTATTTTTACTTCATTAAAATATCTTAGAATATCTATTTGTTTTATTGTATAAGAAAAACAATAATATATTAGTAGTTTATATCACACAACAACAAAAACATTATTATTATATTAATTTTTTCCAACAATACCATAACACTTTATAGCGTACTCTATGTGTCCAGTTATCAATTATCTAATAACCAAACATTACAAACTTCAATGTCATTTAATTAATTTTTTTTTCGTGAATTAATCAATATTTACGAAGGAAGTTGTGTTCAAGCATTGGCTGTACAGATAAATTCGATAAATAGCTGAAATAACTGAGAGAGGCGTCATGGTATAGGTGTCAACAGGTAAACAAACCGTTGGCATGGTTACCGCCACGCCTGCTACATATCTTTTCCTAGGATAGACGATGTAAATCAATATCATATGCCATTGTTATATTCGGTTAAATCTTCCTAATATTTAAACTGTATCAGAGAATATTAACTATTTATAAGCCTCAGGGAAGTTGAATTTAACATTATGGTAATATTAACAAATTCCAACATATATTTTATCACAAAATTTATATAGAATTTTACCTCAATATAAGTTCATTAAAAAAAAAAACACATCTTTTAATCAATGAACTAACATACGGGTATCAATAATCTTGTTCATCCTGTGGTAAAAAAAATCCGTAACCCCCTAACACAACAAAGACTTAAAAAAAAAACCATCATAAAATCATAATTTAATCCACTATGGTTTAATCACGGGGTTAAAACACATTAGCCTAAACAAACCATCGAATAGCAAGCATAGATAGAGACTATTATTAAAGCCAATCAACTCAAAACACGTTTAAGAATTACGTTCAATTATGCGCGCGCAGAATTCCAATGACGAGCATTCCTTCCTCCCGACACACACTCGCTGCCACTGTCACTCAACAGACACTTCCCGGACAGTACCTCAAGTAACCTCCGAGGGGAAAGTAACCATAAAACATGAGTGAGGACGATAATGCCTGGGTCTTGGACAGTCTGGTCAATTTCCTCCGAGGGCCAGTGTGGAATGTTCCAATTTTAACATTTATCGAACACAAGAGTTTGAGTGAGTACCATTGTCCTGTTTTTCCTGATTTTTTGGTTTAATTCCCCTGCTACTTAGTTTAATTCCCCTGCTACTTAGTTTAATTTCCCTGCTACTTAGTTTAATTCCCCTGCTACTTAGTTTAATTCCTCTGCTACTTAGTTTAATTTCCCTGCTACTTAGTTTAATTTCCCTGCTACTTGGTTTAATTTCCCTGCTACTTAGTTTAATTCCCCTGCTACTTAGTTTAATTCCCCTGCTACTAAGTTTAATTTCCCTGCTACTTAGTTTAAATCTCTGCTACTTAGTTTAATTTCCCTGCTACTAAGTTTAATTTCCCTGCTACTTAGTTTAATTCCCCTGCTACTTAGTTTAATTTCCCTGCTACTAAGTTTAATTTCCCTGCTACTTAGTTTAATTCCCCTGCTACTTAGTTTAATTTCCCTGCTACTTAGTTAAATTTCCCTGCTACTTAGTTTAATTCCCCTGCTACTAAGTTTAATTTCCCTGATACTTGGTTTAATTTCCCTGCTACTTGGTTTAATTTCCCTGCTACTTACTTTAATTCCCCTGCTACTTAGTTTAATTCCCCTGCTACTTAGTTTAATTTCCCTGCTACTTAGTTTAATTTCCCTGCTACTTGGTTTAATTTCCCTGCTACTTAGTTTAATTTCCCTGCTACTTAGTTTAATTCCCCTGCTACTTAGTTTAATTTCCCTGCTACTTAGTTTAATTTCCCTGCTACTTGGTTTAATTTCCCTGCTACTTGGTTTAATTTCCCTGCTACTTAGTTTAATTCTCTGCTTCTTAGTTTAATTTCCCTGCTACTTGGTTTAATTTCCCTGCTACTTGGTTTAATTTCCCTGCTACTTAGTTTAATTTCCCTGCTACTTGGTTTAATTTCCCTGCTACTTGGTTTAATTTCCCTGCTACTTAGTTTAATTTCCCTGCTACTTGGTTTAATTTCCCTGCTACTTGGTTTAATTTCCCTGCTACTTAGTTTAATTTCCCTGCTAAGTTTAATTTCCCTGATACTTGGTTTAATTTCCTGCTACTTGGTTTAATTTCCTGTTTCTTACTTTAATTCCCCTCTTTCTTAGTTTAATTTCTGCTACTTAGTTAAATTTCCTGCTAGCAATTTTGTTCCTCTCCTGTAGTTTAATTTCCTGCTACTTGGTTTAATTCCTGCTACTAAGTTTAATTCTGCTACTTAGTTTAATTTCCTCTTTCTTAGTTTTAATTTCCTGCTACTTGGTTTAATTTCCCTGCTACTTAGTTTAATTTCCCTGCTACTTAGTTTAATTTCCCTGCTACTTAGTTTAATTTCCCTGCTACTTGGTTTAATTTCCCTGCTACTTGGTTTAATTTCCCTGCTACTTAGTTTAATTTCCCTGCTACTTAGTTTAATTTCCCTGCTACTTGGTTTAATTTCCCTGCTACTTAGTTTAATTTCCCTGCTACTTAGTTTAATTTCCCTGCTACTTAGTTTAATTTCCCTGCTACTTAGTTTAATTTCCCTGCTACTTAGTTTAATTTCCCTGCTACTTAGTTTAATTTCCTTGCTATGTAACCCATTTATAAACTGTCACTCAAAATAGTCAAAGAAAATGTTTATAACGGTAATTGTGGTAGTTGAGTGGTTGGTGATTGTGGTAGTTGAGTGGTTGGTGATTGGGGTAGTTGAGTGGTTGGTGATTGTGGAAGCTGAGTGGTTGGTGATTGTGGTAGTTGAGTGGTTGATGATTGTGGTAGTTGAGTGGTTGGTGATTGGTGGTAGGTGATTGTGGTGGTGGTTAGTGGTAGGTGATTGTGGTAGTTAGTGGTGGTGATTGTGTGTAGTTGAGTGGTAGGTAATTGTGGTAGTTGGGTGATTGGTGATTGTGGTAGTTGAGTGGTTGGTGATTGTGGTAGTTGAGTGGTTGGTGATTGTGGTAGTTGGGTGGTTGGTGATTGTGGTAGTTGAGTGATTGGTGATTGGTAGTTGAGTGGTTGGTGATTGTGGTAGTTGAGTGGTTGGTGATTGTGGTAGTTGAATGGTAGTGGTGTGGTAGTTGAGTGGTTGGTTGATTTGGTAGTTTAGTGGTTGGTGATTGTGGTAGTTAGTGGTTGGTGATTGTGGTAGTTGAGTGGTTAGTTAGTGGTTGGTGGTAGTTGAGTGGTGGGTGATTGTGGTAGTTGGTGGTTGAGTTGTGACTGGTTGAGTGGTTGGTGATTGTGGTGGTTGAGTGGTAGGTGATTGTGGTAGTTGGTGGTTGGTGATTGTGGTGGTTGTTGTGGTTGGTGATTGTGGTAGTTGATTGGTTTGATGATTGTGGTAGTTGATTGGTAGGTGATTGTGGTGGTTAGTGGTAGGTGATGTGGTAGTTAGGTGGTTGGTGATTGTGGTAGTTGAGTGGTTGGTGATTGTGGTAGTTGGTGGTTGGTGATTGTGGTAGTTAGTGGTTTGGTGATTGTGTTGATTGGTGATTGTGGTAGTTGAGTGGTTGGTGATTGTGGTAGTTATAGGTAATATATATTGTAAATGGTGTGTTTTAGGTAATATATGTGTAAATGGTGGTAGTTATAGGTAATATATTGTAAATGGTGGTAGTTATAGGTAAAATATTTGTAAATGGTGGTAGTTAGGTAAAATATTTGTAAATTGTGGTAGTTATAGGTAAAATATTTGTAAATTGTAGTTATAGGTATATATGTGTAAATGGTGGTAGTTATAGGTAATATATGTAAATGGTAGTTATAGGTAAATATATGTAAATGGTAGTTATAGGTAAAATATTGTAAATGGTGGTAGTTATAGGTAAAATATTTGTAAATGGTGGTAGTTATAAAAATATTTGTAAATGGTGGTAGTTATAGGTGAAATATGTGTAATGATGGCAGTTATAGGTAAATATGTAAATGGTGGTAGTTATAGGTAATATATGTGTAAATGGTAAGTTATAGGTAATATATGTGTAAATGGTAGTTATAGGTAAAATATTTGTAAATTGTGGTAGTTATAGGTAAAATATTTGTAAATGGTGGTAGTTATAGGTAAAATATTTGTAAATGGTAGAGTTAGTAAAATATTTGTAAATGGTGGTAGTTATAGGTAAAATATTTGTAAATGGTAGTTATATAATATATGTGTAAATGGTGGTAGTTATAGGTATATGTGTAAATGGTAGTAGTTATAGGTAAAATATTTAAATGGTGGTAGTTATAGGTAAAATATTTGTAAATGGTAGTAGTTATAGGTAAAATATTTGTAAATTGTGGTAGTTATAGGTAATATGTGTAAATGTAGAATATAGGTAATATATGTGTAAATGGTGATAGTTATAGGTAATATATGTGTAAATGGTGGTAGTTATAGGTAATATATGTGTAAATGGTAGTTATAGGTAATATATGTGTAAATGGTGGTAGTTATAGGTAATATATGTGTAAATGGTGGTAGTTATAGGTAAAATATTTGTAAATGGTGGTAGTTATAGGTAAAATATTTGTAAATTGTGGTAGTTATAGGTAAAATATTTGTAAATTGTGGTAGTTATAGGTAATATATGTGTAAATGGTGGTAGTTATAGGTAATATATGTGTAAATGGTGGTAGTTATAGGTAATATATGTGTAAATGGTGGTAGTTATAGGTAAAATATGTGTAAATTGTGGTAGTTATAGGTAATATATGTGTAAATGGTGGTAGTTATAGGTAAAATATGTGTAAAATGGTAGTAGTTATAGGTAATATATGTGTAAAATGATGGTAGTTATAGGTAATATATGTAAATGGTGTATTTATAGGTAAAATATGTAAATGGTGGTAGTTATAGGTAATATATGTGTAAATGGTAGTAGTTATAGGTAAAATATTTGTAAATGGTGGTAGTTATAGGTAAAATATTTGTAAATTGTAGTTATAGTAAATGTAATTGTGGTAGTAAAAATATTAAATGGTAGTTATAGGTAAAATATTTGTAAATGGTAGTTATAGGTAAAATATTTGTAAATGGTAGGGGTAATATATGTGTAAATGGTGAATATAGGTAATATATGTGAAATGGTGAGTTATAGTAAAATATTTGTAAATGGTGGAAGTTATAGGTAAAATATTTGTAAATGGTAGTTATAGGTAAATATTTGTAAATTGTGGTAGTTATAGGTAATATATGTAAATTGTGTAGTTATAGGTAATATATGTGTAAATTGTGTGGTAGTTATAGGTAATATATTGTGTAAATGGTGGTAGTTATAGGTAATATATGTGTAATGGTGGTAGTTATAGGTAAAATATGTGTAAATTGTGGTAGTTATAGGTAATATATGTGTAAATGGTGGTAGTTATAGGTAAAATATGTGTGTAAATGGTGGTAGTTATAGGTAATATATGTGTAAATGATGGTAGTTATAGGTAATATATGTGTAAATGGTGGTATTTATAGGTAAAATATGTGTAAATGGTGGTAGTTATAGGTAATATATGTGTAAATTGTGGTGGTTATAGGTAAAATATATGTGTAAATTGTGGTAGTTATAGGTAAAATATTTGTAGTGTGGTAGTTATAGGTAAAAATGTGTAAATGGTGGTAGTTATAGGTAAAATATTTGTAAATGGTGGTAGTTATAGGTAAAATATTTGTAAATGGTGGTAGTTATAGGATAAATATTTGTAAATGGTGGTAGTTATAGGTAATATATGTAAATGGTGGTAGTTATAGGTAATATATGTGTAAATGGTGGTAGTTATAGGTAAATATTCGTAAATGGTGGAGTTATAGGTAAATTATTTGTAAATGGTGGTAGTTATAGGTAAAATATTTGTAAATTGTGTGGTATAGGTAATATATGTGTAAATTTTGGTAGTTATAGGTAATATATGTGCAAATGGTGGTAGTTATAGGTAATATATGTGTAAATGGTGGTAGTTATAGGTAAAATATGTGTAAATGGTGGTAGTTATAGGTAATATATGTGTAAATGGTGGTAGTTATAGGTAATATATGTGTAAATGGTGGTAATTATGGTAAAATATTTGTAAAT